ATACAGGTGTTATTTCTGGTTTTTCTTCTGCAAGAACAAGTACTGCTTCTTTTGGTTTTCCCTCTTTGAGTACAGGTGTTATTTCTGGTTTTTCTACTTCAGGAACAGGAACTGTTTCTTCAAGTTCTTCCTGTTTAGGAACAGGTGTTATTTCTGGTTTTTCTATTTCAGTAACAGGAACTCTTGCTTCAGGTTTTTCCTCTTTAGATACAGGTGTTATTTCTGGTTTTTCTTCTGCAGGAAAACGATCTCTTTCTTCAGGTTTTTCCTCTTTAGCAATAAGTGTAATTTCTGGTTTTTCTACTTCAGGAACAGGAAATCTTTCTTCAGGTTTTTCTTCTTTATATACAGGTGTTATTTCTGGTTTTTCTTCTGCAAGAACAGGTACTGCTTCTTTTGGTTTTTCCTCTTTGAGGACAGGTGTTATTTCTGGTTTTTCTACTTCAGGTACAGGAACTCTTTCTTCAAGTTCTTCCTCTTTAGGAATAGTTTTTTGTTCAGCAAGAACAGAAACTGCTTCTTTTGGTTTTTCCTCTTTGGGGACAGGTGTTATTTCTGGTTTTTCTACTTCAGGAACAGGAACTCTTTCTTCAAGTTCTTGCTCTTTAGGAATAGGTATTATTTCTGGTTTTTCCTTCTGTATAGGAGTAGGAATTATTAGCGGTTTTTCTTCTTTAGTAACAGGAACTCTTTCTTTAAGTTTTTCTTCTTTATGGACGGGTGTTATTTCTGGTTTTTCTATTTCAGTAACAGGAATTATTGCTTCAGGTTTTTCCTCTTTAGATACAGGTGTTATTTCTGGTTTTTCTTCTGCAAGAACAGGAATTGGTTCTTTAGGTTTCTCCTCTTTGGGGACAGGTGTTATTTCTGGTTTTTCTACTTCAGGAAGAGGAACTGTTTCTTCAGTTTTTTCCTCTTTTACAATAGGTGTAATTTCTGGTTTTTCTTCTTTTGATACTGGTGTTATTTCTGGTTTTTCTTCTCCAGGAACAGTAACTGCTTCTTTAGGTTTTACCTCTTTAGGGCCAGGTGTTATTTCTGGTTTTTCTACTTCAGGAACAGGAACTCTTTCTTCGAGTTCTTCCTCTTTAGGAACAGGTGTTATTTCTTGTTTTTCTATTTCAGTAACAGGAACTCTTGCCTCAGG